GTGTATTCAGAGCTGGGTTTTTTGTTTTGTTTTTTTTTTTTCTTTAATATTTGGTGTAATGAGGGAGGCTGCTTTTAACTCCACACAAGGTGGGTGTCTTCAGAGCTGCCTCCTTTTTGATTTTCAGTTGTCAGGTTTACACGCAGTTTAAGCGTGCCATATGTCTCTGGTTCAGCTGGGGATTTTAGCTGCACGCTGAGCATTAAGTGTAAAGTAATCCCGTTAAAATCCACAGCTGTGGAGTTGAGCGGGTGTTGAAGGTCCTCCTGAACCACGACCTGCCTCACCACGCTGTCAGTGTGACCCCAGGCTGGGTTTGCATGTTCTTAGAAGGATTTTATGGAAGTGGGGAGGATTTGTGCTGCCATTTAGGGCACGAGGATGGTGTCGGAGGAGCTACCTGGGCATTGACTGCTAAACCAGTCCAGCATTCGGGTGTTAGCGAGGAGCATGAGTCTCGAGTTTGCATTTTCTGCCCTGGCGAGCTCAAGCACAGCGATCAATTTGAAGAATAGGCTGCATTTTTTTCACAATTACCTCAGCGGGTTTTTTTCGCTAAATTCATGCGATAAAATGCATTAAATGTAACAGCACAGAAAATAAAAGTTCAGTTTGTGGAGAGAGCCTGATTTAGTGTGAAGATAAAACAAGATAAAACAACTGGAAAAATTAAGTGGGATAAATAAATTCTGCCGGAGGCAGGCAGAGGTGACAGAGGGGGAGATCTACGTGTGTGCCATTGGCCAGGCAGCGGTCAATCCAGCTGTGCACGGTTTTCCTGAGGATTTCAGCCTGGGAAGAGGGTGATGCTTTGCTGTACCCCCCATCCCACACACCAGCGGATGCTCAGCTTTACCTGGGGACTAAGATGTGATTCTCCCTGCTGCGCTGTTTTGCATGGGGTCTGCATCCTCCTCCTGCCCGTGCATGCTCTTGCTTTCAGGTGAAGAAATGAGAATATTGGGCAGCAAACGGGAAAAGCAAGAAGCAGGGCGGCGGCAGGGTGTGGGGGAAGAGGTGTCGGGATGGATTGCCAAATATGCTGGGTAAAAATTAGCAGCTGCAAGTGTGCAAGAGAAAAGGTGGCGAAGAGACGGGGTAGGCACAGATGGAGAGAAGGAGGGAAAGAGGAGGTGGGAGAAAAGGGAGGAGGGATAATAGTGCAGAAAGATATTAGTTAAAAATCTTATAGCCCCGAGCCCAGACACCATCTGTATGTAGCAGGGTACCAACAAGACGCAGCTCTCTCTCTTCGCCGTGAAGGTGTTACATACGTCTCGGCCACATACTGTGGCCAAGATGCTCAGGATTAGAAATTTCACATGCCCTGGGAGAGAGATGCCTTAAAAGAGCCCTGAGTTTGGAAAGTGCCAAGCAGCTGTCTGCAAGCGGGGGACTGGGACTGGAGAGGAGCGCTTGTCTGGGTTTTCCAGAGGGAAATCTGGAGAACTTCCACCAGTGCTGGAGGGCGAATCCCTGGGAGCAAGGATTAGCTCTTTGATTAAGCAAGCCCAGGTGCTCCAAGGATTTCTCTCCCTTATGGCTCTGCTGGGTTTTTTGCTTTCCTGGGGGCAGCATTAACCCCTTCAGCTGCGAACAAGGCGGAATGGCTTAGAGACACCAAAGTTCGTCTCAGAAGAAGAAAAGCGAGCTATTTCCCATTATCCTTGCCATAAGATTTTACAGTTTGCTCTGCTTCCTGAGGACTGTGTTTTCCCTTTTGGTGAGGCCATGGTGGTTGTGCCCTCTGTAGGAGAAGCTGCTGTCCTGGTGTGAAGTGCATTTTGCTGGTGCATCTGTGTCCGTGCTTCATAGCATTCCCCTACCCAGGCAGGGTGCTTGTGGGAAGGCCACAGGCTGTGAATATCTGTGTCTTGTTTAAAAGGAGTTAGAAATACTCTTTGGAGCTCTTTTGGAAGAGGCAGTGTCCCAAAGGATGCTCGTGAGCAGGGAGGTGACGCTGGCCAAGTGCAAAGGGTCCCAGTGTCACTGGAGTCCCCCCGTACCTTGCTGCAGCTCATCTCAAGGGAGCTGGATTTGCTCCCTGCTGCTCAGAGGGAATCTCATCACACCCTGAGCTGTGTGGAGAAAGGGAAAATAATCCAAGAGCAGCAGTGAGGCTGAAGAATAAAGTTCAGAGTGGCCGTCCATAGGTCCCAGTGGCTGCAGGCTGCTCCCCAATGCGGTGCCGGAGCAACGCTGCCGTTGAGCTGCTCCATGGCCCCCGAGCTCCGGTCCCTCACTAATTACTTCCAGGCCTGTACTCCTGACATTTGCAAGCTCCTGATTAGAGCAACGAAGGAGAAATCTCTGAGGGAGATGGAGGCCAAACTGCACCACTAATAAAAGCTGAGATTGACAATCGGCTGGGAGGTGAGAGACAGGGAGGTGGAAGGACTTTGTCCTTGCAGTCTCGGTTTCTTTCTGAGCCTCTGGGATGATGAGAGAAGGTCAGGGCTTGTTAACGTCACCGTGAGGAGCAGGATCCGCCACTGCCATATGCTTGATGCCCCCAGGGCCTGTGCCAGCCTGAGTCCCTCTCAGCTAGGCGGTATTTTTAGACATGGACCTGAACTGAAGCCACCCGCATGACTAGCCCATGCAACCTCGGGTCTGCAAACTGTCTTAGGCACAAGAGTGGCTCTGCTTTCCTGTCTGCTGACTTTGTGTTTGCATCTAGATTTTGCAGCCTCCTGGATTGGTTTTGAGTTCTTTTTCCCTTGCCCTTTTCTCCCCGGTGTTGCAGCTTGCTCCCTTCGTTTGGTGGCATTGTGCTCACTCAGGAAGCAGAGTTAATCAGAGCAGTGGGACTGGGAGATACTGGGCAGTAGGGGTGGTCCAGAAGACAGGAGCAGGAGAGGCTGCTCTGGCTGCTGTACCTGCTGTGGGGTGCCCAAAGTGGTCTCTGAGGTGAGACACGTCTCCTGCATAGCTGTTCCAGGCTGTTGGGTCTCTACCCAGTTAGGCAGGTTTCTGTTATGTAAATATGTTTAATATTCCCTTTCCAGCCCCCTCTTTCCCCTCCCTGATGCCCCATATATGCTTACCTGTGCCCAGCTGTCTGCAGCAGGCAGTTTAGCTATCCGTCTGTCTGTTTATGCCCTGCCTTTACATCTGTTCACGTAGCCATGTCTCTCCAGCCTCCTCAGAGGCTCTTTCTGAGGCAGACAGGCGTTTTTCCCCCTTTGAATCTCCCCTTTCCCTGAATTGCACCGGCTCTGGTAAGCGTTCTGCTATGGCACTCTGTCTCACAGCTTCCTATCCCAAGGGGTAAGCATTTTACCCAGCAGAGCTCCTGGTGCCTGCAGCATCCTAAAGCTCATCCTGCTGCTGAACGGGGCTCAGCAGCGCCAGGGGTCGGGCTGTCTTGCTGGTGGGGGGTTTCAGTGGGTTTGTGCTGACTCTTTTCTGCTGCTGCTCCGTCCCTGCCAGCAGACACGGTTCCTCTGTGCCAGGGTAGGAGCAGATTGGGAGGGAGATGGGATGTCCTTCCTCTCCATCCCCCCGCCGAAGGATGCCTGGCATTGAAGCAGCCGACCTGCCTGTTCAGGGTTAAGCCAACTTTTTGGCAGTGGAAGAGCTTTCTGATGGAAAACTCAGCCCTGCTTTTCTCAGTGCTCCCTTTGACTCCTAGGCTGTCCTATTTATCCAAGCTGCAGTGAGCATCCCTCTGGTGCCTGCAGCCATAGCTGGTGTTGGGAGCCAGCACGCGTCTCTGCAGTGCTAGCCCGTGGCTAGTGGTGTATTTAGGGTCACTGCATCCCGCTGCCATGTACAAAGGACCTGCAATGCTGATAACTGGGCTTGGGATCACCGAAAAACCCTTGTAAAACCTCTTTATCAATTCTAGCAGCTGTGTTTGGGTCTCTGGGTGAGGTTGGAGTCCCAAAATAGCTAAAACTCCTTCAGTGCATGTTAGGCTTCTCCTCTGGCCCCTGGAAGGGGCATGTTCCCCATGATATATTTGGTAGAAGAGCCAGATGCCCTTTGGAGGAAGGCATCCTCCAACCATCCACCCAACTGAGGTCCAGACTGCTTTGGCTTGGGCATGAGGAACTGTACAGCAGGCTGGGGGGAGACGGCAGCGTGAGGTTGTTTTCCTTTGTAGGCACAGGGACAGATGTGTCTGGGTGGTCACCGAGGTCTTGGTGCCCTTGCTTGCTCTTTGAGGAGGGAAACGGTGGTGTCTTGGTGTCTCCAACGGAGGAAACGTGTTGCCAATGTTGTGACCGGTGGGGTGGAAAGCCCTCGGGCTTCCTACTACAACGTTTCTCTGTATTGGAGAGTGTGGACAGCAGGGACAGGGGCTCCCTTCCAGACTTACACCATCCAGGGGGGCAAATGCATGGTGGCAGGACACGGTTTCTCACTGCGGGCAGAGGGGAGAAAGCGGTCCCAGCCCTGCATCAACAGGTGGATGCGGAAAAAGATGCTGCGAAAGATGCAGTGAGGAGGTTAGGGTGGGCAAGGGAGCCCGGCGGCGTCTTCGGGGGCTCTACGGCGAGGGGGAGGCTGCGCATGAGAAAAGCCCCTTCTGCAGCTGGGGTGGAAATGGTTAAAAGGGGGGGGGGTGTCCCCCGGTTTGGCCGGTGGGATCCTCGGTCCCTCTGCTCGGCGGGAGCGTGGCGCGGCAGGGGTTAAAGGCTGGCGTGTGAGGTGCTTGCCACCGCCCCGCTCCCCGCCTGCCCGGGTGCTGGGGGCTGGGTGCTGGGTGCTGGGGGGGGTGTGCGGGAGCCAAAGGGCCGGTCAGTGATGGAGCCGCTGCCATGACAACCCC